ATATGTCGCAATCAACATTTCCAAAACATTTTCTTTCTACTGGAGCCTTTGGCATCAGCTCCTCTTTTTTGCCTCCCTCCCCCACTCTCATGACTCCTTGATCAATGATATATTATTATTGTTATTTCATGTCTTACACTGTCCATTGTCTCCCTTACCCACATTTCTGTTACTTGTCCCCTTGGGGGCTGGGCTATATATCCAACCTTAGAATGAATTCTCCCTTTCTCCAACCCTGACCCCACCATTCCCCTATCTTCCTGATACCTACTCCAACTACTGTTCCTGAGGGTTTTATCTGCCCTGAATTCCATGTGTTGAGAGCTCTTATCTGTAGCATTGTGTGTACTCCAGTCTAGCCAGATTTGTAAGGTAGAACTGGGCCGTGGTAGTGGGAGGGAGGAAGCATTCAAGAACTAGAGAAATGATGTGTGTTTCATTGGTGCTCTACTGCACCCTGCTTGAATCATAAAGGGTGTCGTTGAGAGAAAATGCTCTAAAAATATCTTCTACTTTAGACTATCATGTGAAAGGTTGATCTCGGTTATACTTGGGAGATTTTTCATATCCCTCCTTGATATTAGGAAGAGAAAATAACTTATGTTGAGCAGAGCCTAGAATGTAGATAAGTGGTGGTCTGGAGATATACCAGGAGTTTGGGTGGCAAGAGGAGATTGCTTGAACTCATAAAGAATTAGATTCTGAAATGATGGAAGTTCCATTCCATCTGTATGTGTAGCTATGAGTTGGAATCAATGAGATGTGACTAGATTTTTTTGTTCTTCTTCTCCTTCTAATTTTTGGAATTATGCAACACCTAATATTAGCTTAGGTTGAGTTCTGCATTAATGTGTCTCTGTCCTTCTGCAAAAGCCGTTCACTTCTGATTGATTCCTTTCCTTCACATTATGAACTCTACTTTGACTTTAGTCATTGAGAATAAAGATATTCATATTCAACAAAATAGCATCAAGCTTTTTATTTAAATAATTTAAGTACTTTGCCTAATTACATGGATGATATTATAACACAACTAAAGGAAACAAAAAAGGTTAATAATTAATTGACCTAGCAAGTATATATTTGAAGATTTTTGTAGAATTGTTCTACTGAATATATAATGCTGTGAATTTTTAATACATTGTGACAATTTAATTTTGATTATAAGTGTGTCTTTGACAAATAGCAGGAGCATTGATCCCATAGTGGTTACACTTTGGGCCGCTTACCACAAAGTCAGCAGTTCAAAACCAAAAGCTGCTCCTCAGGAGAAAGATGAGGCTTTGTTCTCCAGTAAAGAGTTACAGTCCTAGAAACCCACAGGCACAGTTCTACCCTGTCCTAGAGTGTAGCTATGAGTCAGCATCGACTCCATGACCGTGAGTTTGGTTTTATTTTGGTTTTGACCAATAATTTGTTAATGGGAAAAAGTTTTTAACTGGAGACGATTTCAGTTGTCATTTAATCAGCGTTTGGTGTTTTTGGAATTAAAAAAGGGCTATTAAGGTTAACAGATATAAACACAAACTAAATGTACTTAAGCCTACATAGCTTGACATCTAACCAGGATTGAAGTCATTAGTCATGTGTGTTCTTAAACATGAATTGTTCTCTAATCATTTGAATTTTTACTTAAAATCACTCTGTGGCTCCAGAGCTTCCTCATCGCGTTTTTCACCTCTGCATTTCTGAGGGTGTAGATTAGAGGGTTTAACATGGGGATAACCATAGCGTAAAACACAGCCACTGCTTTGTCAATGGGCAAGGTGATTGTGGGTCGAAAGTACACAAATATACAGGGTACAAAGAATAAGGTGACTACAGTAATATGGGATGTACAAGTGGAAAGAGCCTTTTGTTGTCCTTCAGACTTGTGACTTCTTACGGAGCAAAGAATGAGGCCATAAGAGGTGATCAGAAAAGAGAAAATGAGCAAACACAGCAGTCCACTGTTGCCAGCAACAAAGAGTCCAAAGATGTGTGTGTCCATGCAAGCGAGTTTTAGCAGAGGGAAAAGATCACACATAAAATGGTCAATCACATTGGGACCACAGAAGGGCAACCAGACTATAAAAAGCATTTGAATCACAGCATGAAGCAGTCCTCCAGCCCAGGCCAGGGCCACCAGGAGACCACACATGTGTCGATTCATTGTGATCATATAGTGCAGGGGTTTGCAGATGGCCACATAGCGGTCATAAGCCATCACCATGAGGAGAAGGATCTCAACACCTCCAAAGAAGTGCTCTGTGAAGAGCTGAGTCATGCATGCACGGAAGGAGATGGTTTTCTTTTCAGCCAGTAGGTCAATTATCATTTTGGGCGCGATGGTAGATGTGAAGATTCCATCTGTGATGGACAGGAATGACAGAAAAAAATACATGGGGGATCCCAGGGATGGGCTGCTGGTGACAGTCAGGACAATGAGTAGGTTTCCTGCCAAGGTGAGCAGGTAGATGATTGTGAACACAGCAAAGAGGAGTCTCCGCACATCCGGGTCCTGTGTCAGGCCGAGCAGAATGAATTCTGTCACATTGTTCTCTCTCGCCATGCACCCAGCGTGGCATTTGAATATTGGTTTACCTGCAAATAATACAAGGATTGTGATGATGACAGATATATGCTAATTAGACAGAATAATTTTAGTCTGAGTTATCTGTTTCCGGTAAGACTCATGGAAAGCCCGAGCTAAGTCCAGATGGAGTATGTTTTTGGTCACACAATGGATATGTAGGAACCCTGGTGGTGGAGTAGTTACTCATTGGGCTACTATCCTCATGACTGGCAGTTTGAAACCACAGTGGCTCTTCAGAAAGACTAGGTTTTGTACTCCTGAAAACAGTTACAGTCTCAGAAACCCACAGGGGGTTGCTATGAGGTAGCATGGACTAAATGGAAGAGAGTTTGGTTTGGTTCTGAGCCCTCTTGTACACGTACTTTTGGACATTCACATCCCTATACCCACATTTACACCTATCCACACACTCATCCACAGACCTACATACAGCCACACCACACATACACCAATACAACTCATACCTGTATTTCCACACACTCATACACATATTTTCACACACACTCACACATATACACAGTCATTGACAAATGAATTTACTCACATACACACACATGCACACCAAAGCATGCACATATACACTCACAGAGAGTATCACACATAGACTTAAAAACACACATGTGACCTATGGCCATTGACATGCATGGCACCTAATGTGACTATGAATGGGTAGACCCTATTCAAGCCATTGCCTTAATATTTTCTCCCACAGAAAATCAGGAATTAAACAAAGGACCCACCAAGAGGAGCAGGATCTTGAATTCATGACAATCCTCTCAGCTCAGCCCTTTTGTAATTACGAATGCTGCTGAGGCAAACTTGTTAGAGGGAGAATACAACTCACCAGGTGAGTTCAATTTCAAATTAGGAATTAGTCATATTTCCAAATGAACAGAACGGAATACAAGTTTAAGGCTACTGTGGAAGTTAGATTTATGAGATCATTCTACATACTAACAGAATTTTGTAAGACTAGCATATTTTGTCTTTAATATTATAAATTATCCAACACATTTAGAAAAAGGATACCTGAAGTTGATAAGTTAGAAAATAGGATGAAATATACCCCCAAATTTATTTCAAATTTATACAACTTATATCACATTTAGATTTCAAAAGTCACTTTATGGAAGATTGTGAACTATCTTCTGCCTCTGTCCAGAAAACAGAGTTTTAAATTGTGGAAAAAAGCAAGCACCATAATTAATTGGGCAGAGCATGCTTTTCAGGTGTCAGTTTGGAAGTGTGTGGATGGCTGTATATATATATTTTTCCCATTAGTATATAGACTTAGATATTAGTGATAATTAAATTCTTCAATTTCTCCATATTCTTTATTATTTCCTCCATGATCATAATCAATTTGTTAGACACTGTTCTGGTTTTTAACTTTTCTGTGAATGAAAAGTCAGGCTCAGTAAGACTAAGACCTCTCTCTACCATGGCTACTAATCAGTGATTGTCATACAAATTATGTTTTTCCCTATATTTGCAAGATATTGATAAACGATCAAAAGTTGAGATTATCAGATATAAAATTTGTATCCTTAAAATCTTTGCCTATTGCAGTACTAAGATAGAAAATCAGCAAAGCACGTGCTCAGATTGGAGGCTAGAAAAACAACCAGTTGTATTTGAGAAACATTTGAATGGAAAAATGAATATATAAAACAAAAGAAAAGAACACATGATAAATAAATTCCAAAGCTTTTTGTTTCAGAGTAAAAACTGCTAATCAACCTGATGAATAAAGTTGATGACATTAAATATTAAGTTTAGTCTCTCTCAAAACAATATTAATTTTAAAGACATGTAAAATATTATGTATGGTTAAGTGAGTAAAATAAGACATTTTAAAAATAAATACAGTCATTTTCCTAATAAAGAAATAAGTAGGAAAAGAGAAACAATTTAAATCATTCATGTATTAGAGGCTTAAAATGAAGCACAAATCTGCTCATGAACTTCAGAAAGACAAAGTGATAGGTAAATACTAACCTCTGATGAGGAAGGACGCTTCAAGCTAAAAGTGCAGTGACATAAAACATAAGACAAACATGATGGAGTTATTGTACATAAAGACATGGATTACAAAAGATAAATTTTTATAGCAAGTATGATACACAGCCACTACTATAGAAGTAGCACTTACAAATACAACTCTACTCACAGCAGTAAAAGGATGACAAAATACTGAAAAGGTAATTCTCAGAAAAAAGTAAGCAGGTAAAACATTCTCCATTGCATTAGAAATCAGGGAAATGCAAGTTAAAAATAATGAAATACTTCTATCCATCAAAACGAAAGGATTTATGACAGTTATGTTATGCAGTGCTTGTGTTTGTGTGTTGATGGCTAATATTCTGGAAAAAGCACTTGACAAAGGGCTTTATATACGAAGGACTTGAAGTTCTCTCTGAAGAAAATCAAAGACTGCAGCCTTCCGTATGGACTGTAACCCAATGTAATGAAACTAAAAACCCTCACAACGGGATCAGCAGACAATCACATGATAAAGGGAGAAACCACATTGAAGTTGTCAAAGACTTCATTTTCCTTGAATCCACCATCAGCATGAATGGAATCAGTGGTCAGGAAATTTTGAATGATGTGTCTCACTGGACAAATCTGCTGTAAAAGACCTCTTTGTATTAAAGAGCAAAGCTATCACTTTGAGGATGAAGGCGTATCTGTCCCTACTCATGTGATTTCCCATCTCTTCTAATGCTGTGAAAGCCAGACAATGAATAAAGAAGATTGCAGAACAATGATGCATTTGATTTATGGTGTTGATGAATATTGAAACAACCATGGACTGCCAGAAATTAATTTTCCTGAATGAG